TGCTGTGATCTAGTGCTCGTCCTGGCGGCTGCCAGGCAAGGTCTACTTCCGGCAGTAGCACGGGTGGTTTGAGGGTTACAGTGGTGGCAAACCCCTCAGGGAACCAACCCTCGGGGGCCTACCACTCCTCTAGCGCTTCTGATCCAGTCAAGCGGCCAAAGGAACGCACTGGGCCTTCTTCAAAGAGCGTACCAGCGGTATCCTGCGGTGCTCCTCCCGACGACCGGATGTCGATCACTGCATCAGAGGGAGAGCGCTCTGGAGAGGAAGATTCGGCTGCGCTTCCGCCCTCCGGGACGGTGTCAATGCCTAAATTGGATCCAGAGATGTCGGCTATGCTTTCCCGGGCCGCCGAGAGGGTTGGGCTCGAGTGGAAACCTGCATGAGGAGCTCACCAGGTCGTGGACGGCACCTTTTACTGCCAGAATCCGGCCTGTTGGTTCCTCCTCCCTCACCACCCTCGATGGTGGTGCAGCGAGGGGGTATACGGCGATCCCCCCGGTGGAGCGGTTGATAGCGATGCAGTTGTGTCCTAAGACCGCCTCCTCCTGGCGTGGAAACCCGTCGCTCCCCTCCCGGGCCTGTAAGCATTCGTCTGGTCTGACCGGCGGTGCTTATACGGCTTGTGGAGAAGCTGCTTTCGCCTTACACGCTATGGCGTTACTGCAGGTGCACCAGGCCAAGGCACTGAAGGACCTGCACAAAGGGTGGTCACCATCCAAAAGTTCTGAAAGAGCTCCGAACCGCTACGGACCTCGCGCACTGAATGACAAAGGTCACCGCGAGTTCTCTGGGTCGTGGGATGTCCACGCTTGTGGTCCAGGAGCGCCATCTCTGGCTATGTCTGGCCAACATGAGGGATGCCGACAAGGTACGGTTCCTCAACGCCCCTGTGTCCCAGACCGGCCTCTTCGGCGATGCAGTCGAGAGCTTTGTCCAGCAGTTCTCGGCTGCACAGAAGCAGACTGAGGCGATTCAACACATCCTACCCCGGCGGGTAGCTGCTGCCTCCACCCTTCTGCCGGCCGCAGCGCTCCAGTCTGCTCATTGCCGAGGGCGGCCCCCTGTATCCGCCCCCACTCCAGCGCCACATCCGCAGCAGCCTCCAGACAAGCAGCACCGTGGACACGGGCGTAGGCAGGCCACACTCATCCTCCTCCATCGCCAGCAGCGGGTGGTTCGAGAGCATCAACAAAGGCCCTACTCACGCACCCTCTCCCAACCTGTGAAACCAGGTAAGTGTTGCACCGCACACTCAGACCCCTCTTCGGTCCGCTCACAAGCCGCCCGAGTTGGGTCCCTGCCCCACTGCGAGTACGGTGGTGGTTCCGTTGGTCCCGCTTGCGCGGTATCTGGGTGCCTGGCTAGCGCTACCCAGCCCGTGTCACTGGTTTCTTCGGACCATCAGCCTCGGCTATGCGATTCAGTTCGCCCGGCGTCCTCCCAAGTTCAGTGGCATCCCCTTCACGACAGTGAAGGCGGCCGATGCTCCTGTCTTGCGTGAAGAGATCGCAGTCCTACTGGCGAAGGATGCAATAGAGCCGGTCCCTCCAGCCGATATGAAGACGAGTTTTACAGCCCCTTCTTCATTGTACCCAAGAAAGGCGGTGGGTTATGACCAATCTTGGACCTGCGTGTCTTGAACCGGGCCCTTCACTGGTTACCGTTCAAGATGTTGACGCAGAAACGCATCTTCGGGTGCATCCGTCCCCGAGATTAGTTTGCAGCGATCGACCTGAAGGACGCATACTTTCATGTGTCGATCCTTCCACGCCACAGACCATTTCTGTGGTTCATGTTCGAAGGACGTGCATACCAGTGCAAGGTCCTGCCCTTTGGGCTGTCCCTGTCCCCCCGTGTCTTCACGAAAGACTTGTTCCCCTCAAGGTGTTGGTGTTCACATCCTCAATTATCTCGATGATTGACATATACTAGCACAGTCTCAGGATCAGTTGTGCGAGGGACCTGGTGCTCCGGCATTTCAGCCAGTTGGGTCTTCGGGTCAACTGGGAAAAAGCAAACTCTCCCCAATGCAGAGGATCTCTTTTCTCGGTATGGAGTTGGATTCAGTCGAACAGACAGCACGCCTCACAGAGGAACGTGCACAGTCGGTGCTGAACTGCTTGAATTCATTTAAGGGCAGGACGGCGGTCCCACTGAAACTATTTCAGAGGCTCCTGGGGCATATAGCAGCTGCAGCGGCAGTTACGACGCTAGGGCTGCTTCATATGAGACCGCTTCAGCACTGGCTTCATGGCCGAGTCCCGAGGTGGGCGTGGCAGCGCGGCACTCACCGGGTCCAAGTTACACTTGCATGTCGCCAAACCTTCACCCCGTGGTCAGAGCTTACATTCCTCCAGGCCGGAGTGCCCCTAGAACAGGTCTCCAGGCATGCTGTGGTTTACACGGATGCCTCCACCACCGCCTGGGGTGCCACGTACAATGGGCACGCAGTGTCGGGGGTATGGACGGGCCCCCAACTGCACTGGCATATCAATTGCCTAGAGTTGTTACCGGTGCGCCTTGCCTTGAACCATCTTAAAGGGCGCAACAATATTCACACATAAAGAGGTGTTCAGTAGAGTAACACTGTAAATATGGTATTCAAAGTCTAATTAAAACATTAAAATACATTTCACGTGTTGTCTTTTTGTTTGTTTGTATTTTTATAGTTTTTATATAGTTATCTTTATTAATTTAACATTTTTTTTGACTCAACATTCCAGTGATGCGAGATTCTACTGACTCAACTTGAAGATTTGTGGTTTGGTCTGGTTGGCGGTATGTTTGGCAACATTCCTAATTGCGGCCAGCTCAGGAGTTAATATTATGAATGGAATCCTTGCCTACACCAGGAATAGTTGCTTCTTCTACCACAGTCACAACACAGCTTCCTACAGATTAACTTACTGGAAGATTGCAATGAATTGCTAAGGAACCCTAGGACAAAGGAGCAAAAAAGCGTCCACCTAAGAAAAAATGAGGAAGAAACAAGTGTGTACTTTAGACCCTTTTATCTACCATGGGAATTTGGACAGATCACCGTTATTTTAATTTATGTGATGGGACCGGACAATGTGGAAGCTGGAAATAGTATAGCGAATAGCTATAAAAATGCTCTGCCATGCTCTTCTGACCAACCGATTTTAATTCTAGGAGATGTGATTTATCAAGATATTTGCCTACACTCCATCAGTATGTGGAATGTCCCACTCGATCTGGACAAATGTTTCGGCAATATAACCAATGGCAATAAGGCTGTATGCTGCCCCCTCTTTGGGGAAGTCAGATCAAAATATTATACATTTGTTACCCAAATATCGAGCCAAGCTTAAACGCGAGAAACCAGTGATTAAAGAGATACAACTGTGGACAGATCAGAGTAAAGAGGAACTTAGAGACTGTTTTGATGCAACTGTTCTTTGATGCATGCGAGGGAATATATGAGGGAAAGACAAAAACAATTAAATTATATTTATACAGCTAAAGTTAAACAAAAAGCTTTAGTTATTATAGAGGATTCATTACACACTTTGCACTGCCAGTTTTAGGTAACCTCGGGCAATTACAAATGTGTATCAGATGTCAATTTGCCAACTGCAGTTAGAATTTTAAATGCTGATACATTAATATTAATATGTATGCAGATATATGTACATATGGGAATGTATATATGTATGTGCATGCTAAAGTTTTTTTTGAGTCTATATTGTATTGGATTTTTACTTTATTTTACTTTTTAGAGCTGTTGTGTATTGTATTGGTCTTGACAAATTTCCACTTTTTTTCCACTTGACAATAAAGAAAAGTAAAAAAAAAAAAAAAAAATACCCCCTATCGATTCCTGTATGCACATTTTTCCTTCGGTGTTTATAAGCTTAGCGCTGCTTTGTTTACAGCGTCTCAGTATCACTGTTGTTCCTTAAGCGCCACCTGCTGGCAGAGAGTGAATTTGGGTCTCATTCAGTCTGCCTACTGTTATGTAGTTTCATGCAGAATAATTTCACAAAGCTTGTCAGAGCTAAGTCAGACCATTGTTTTTGCTTCAAATTTTCTGTACAAGTGCATTTTCTGCTGGAAAATGTGGACATGATATTTCTTTAAAAAATAAATAAAACCCAAGCTAGGAAAGAGCACAGGCAAAGCCTTAGTTTTATTACAAGAAGAGATTTATTTTATTTGCATTAGTAATTAATTAATTTATTTGATTTGGGATTTGTTTTAAAACTTCAATTGATTTTTATTTTTGTTACTTGACATTAAAGATATATCAGTTTCACAGAAATGTGCAGAATTTTGTCCGAGAAACAAAATTCATTTAGAATTTGTCTAAAATCACATTTTGTTACAATATTCATATTATGAAACCAAAACTGTTCATTGTGAGTTGAGTGAATTGTTACATTCCTACTTTTCCTGCTTTACTGATTTTTTGTTCATGGTATTCAGCTGCTACTAAACGTTTTTGCAAAAATAGACAAAAAATATATATATATATCTTTGATATCTAAATGTTTGATTCATTTTTTTGGTTCCGAAACTGGGAATTGTTAAGAATCGGAATCAGATTTGATCAAATTCTCTCCCTTGTGCCTGTTTACTTGGATTACTGCTTTTTGCCTGTCTGGACTAACTATCTTAATCATCAACCATTACCTGTATTTCTGACCATCCATATGCCTGTTGATTTGGATTTACGGTTTCAATAAACTTCTGTAAATAGATTCAAACCCAACATCAAGCCTGAGTCGGTTACATGAAGTGCACCAGACTGATTCATTTAACTTTAAAATGTATACAATTTTACCCCTAGAGGGCCAGAGGTCCGCCCCCATAGTTACACTAAATCCTGCAGAACTACCTAATAATGAAAAAAGTGTTTTTTTTATTATTATTAATTGTCTATCCATTTCAGACATAATGTGAAATCATGGAAATACATGAGAAAATGCTAAATCAAACATGATACATAACACACTAAAAGCAAGCATGTTGTTCACCTTCAGCTGATGTGTAATGACATCAGTATTCATGGCATTTTCCCATCCATTTCTTGCATCTTTAGAGGAAAGGGTTTCATCATAAGGAGCAGGCCCTGTCAATAATAACAAAATGTAACATTTCTTGAATTTATGTGGCAGGAGATCAATATGGCATGTGGAAATGTAAGTTGAGTTTTGGGAACTCTTACATTGGCTGGCCTGATGGGGATCAAGTAGACTGTGGATGGTCAAATGGATGGTACTGATCGTATCATCCACTCCTTTACCCAGAGCTCTGATCAGCTGCTCCATGTCCTTCAAAAGATGGGCCATCAGGAATGGCCCGGGATCCGGCACAGCAGGCTTGATGATCTGCATGACACTCTACACAGACACATGCAAGAATATGGAATGAAGATAGTTAAAGTTGCTCTCACTAAGTTACCCTATCTCAGCGGTGTCCTGGAAATGTATAGAAATAATGATTCTGTCTAAATAAACAAACATGGGTATCACTTTATAATAACAATACAGTTATAAAGTATTTACAAATTATTTGCAAACTATTCGTTTATAGTTAACCGCCTGGGGTCGGCAAAGGCGCCGGCGGGAGCACTTGCATATTTACCGCAAAAAGAACTTAAACTGCTTTTCATTCATTCATTTTAGCTTGACATTTATGTTTTTTAGAATGAATGCCACTAAAATGCTCGTCCAATCAAAATGTTCGGTCAGAACATTACGATAGGCTGTCCTGCCTGGCTGCCAAAATATGTATTTGCATACCTCTGCGCACGCCATCTCTCCTCGCATCGCTGGTTAGTCTCCGGTCTGCCTGAGCGCGTTAATGTGTTTTGGAGGAGGCGTGGCTTTGCAGACTGATTATCCTGGGAGCGTGGTCCAAAATCGCCTACCCTACCATTAAGTTTGAGATTAAACCTCAAAAAAATGTTTTTTGAACCTTTTATCTCTCCCAGACAGCACTCCATGAGAGAATCCCATCTGGAAAGATCTTCAGTCTCAGGTATGGTGCTTGACTGACCGCCCCCTGAGGAAGCCCAAGTCATAAACTCTGGTCTCTAAAACAAGGTTTTGAGACTATCCTGAATGCTGGAGCTGCCTCCACTAGGAAACTATATGCCCTGAAATGGCAGCTCTTTGCATGGAGCACACAGGGGCAATATATTTTTTATTAATATAATAACTAGTATACTCAACAATTTTTTGGAAGCTCTAACTCACACTAAATATTTTGGAAGGCAATTGTAATTTTACTTGAGTATATTTTTTAGTACTGTTTCCACATCTGCATGTCACAAAACCATAAACGGGCAGAAAGAATGTAATACCTGTGTGTTGTTTTGAGCTCCCAGCCGCATGCACGTGTGTGTGAGCAGTCTGAGAAGCGCGAAGGGAGCAGGTGACATATTCTTAGTGTCCTGCATGTCAGGCTGGTCACGACGGTGTGCATCACCCAGAATGTGTCCAGACTGAGTACGGTCCGCTCTGAAAAGAGGAACAATTGCCTCAAACTCATGAAACAACTGAATAAACAATTACCACTAAAACAGATATACAGCACCATTTTGTAGGGACATTTTCAGCCAAAAAAAGAAAATCACAAGTTCTGTAAAGACATTAAATAACACTTTACAATAAAGTTCTATACATTGACATCAATGCATTTAATAATCTTGGTTAATTTTGATTAAACTACGTATATATTAATCCTTTTTCTTTTCGAGCTTTACAAATTTGCATTAAAGTATCATTACATTAAAAACCTACAATTAATCTTTATTAATAAATGCTGTAAAAAATCCTGTTCATTATTAGTTCATGATACCCAGTGCATAACTATGACCAATCAGAATCAAATATTTCAGACAGCCAGGTAATAAACTAAACTGAATTAAAAATTCAGTGCATTTGGTGCAAGAGTAACTCACTGTATCTGCATGGTTTGGAAGCCGTCAACAGGTTTGTGGTCTATGCCGCCTATTTCTGCATTACACTCTAGACAGCGGGCAACCTCCATGGGCAGACCACACTGGACAGATGCATGAAGAGAATTCATTTTTAATTTGACAAAACTCATAACAATTTGATCATATTAATGCCGAATCATAGAAATTAAATGACCCTACCATATCAACAATGCATGGATGACCATTAGGACAGGCTGTTAAAAACAAAAGAAGATGTTTAGAATTGATTTAAAAACAGGATGTAGAAATGTTCAAATACAGAACCACTTGTCAATGCCAAGGATCTGTCAAAATTCCACCCCCGTTGTTTCCCAAAGCAATTCTATCGGCTAAAATCAGTTTTAGGATATTTCGTATCTGATTATAAATCCTGCAAGTCTATATAACAGATAATCCTACAAACCTTATTGGTCTGTGTAATATTACCAAACAAAAATGCATCAGTCGAAAAGGTTTTATTTTTTTAAACTTCATTATTATTAATAGGTAACACTTTATTTTAAGGGTCTAGAATTATGCATTAGTTAAGCAGGAACACACTAGTAATTAATGATTAACTTAACACTTAATAAGTGAATATTAGCCATTATTTACTATTTATTAAAAATTTGAAAGGTCCACATTCATGCAATAAATAAGCTAGTAATTAATGATTAACTGAAGGTACATGCCTTTTAGGCATTATTTACAAGGTAGAAAACCATAAATAATTTTTGTGTAGTAATGCACTTGTGTATATTTCAGTTGTTCAGTCATCTATTCACTTAACTGAACAATACTAAGCTAGTAATTATGTTTAATTAGTGCTGGCTTTACAGTTATAAATTGCTAAAACAGTGTAATAAAGACAATTTTGACCCCCTGTTTTTAAAGTGAATGTTATATCCACATTAATTATTGCACTTATTGAATGATATTCAAGTTTATTGACTAGAATAAGGCAATGATTATGGCTAAACTGCCACTAATACAATATTAATAAAGAAAATTTGACTCCGTTCTAAAGGTCAGATTCTCATTTAAACTACAAGTTTGTTTATCAGTTACGATGCAACATGATCTCACGAGAATGCTCGTTTTAAAGGATTGCATGATGTTAAACAAGACTACACTATAAAACTTTAAAATGAGCAGTGTTGGCGAAAGTTACTTTTAAAAGTAATGCGTTACAATATTGCGTTACTCCCTAAAAAAAGTAACTGATTACGTTACTTAGTTACTTTTTAAGGAAAGTAATGCGTTGCGTTACTTTTGCGCTACTTTTTAAATCTGGACAGGGCTTGCTTGTTTGTTTTTAAAATAAAAAAGTTATATTTTTGGCAAATATAAAAGCCTTTTCACACCAAAAGTGAAATGAAGAAGCCTCAGGCTGAAGGGAAAGTACATTTACATCCGTACAGTAGAATGCAGAAGAAGACATTTCAACACACTTCAGCAGTAAAAATAAGACACAAATGTTTGTCTAGAGTAATTTGTGCGTATCATCGAAGGTCAGAAGCAAAGACATTGGTTAATAGAATGGGATAAAATACATAAAGGATGTTTGTGTTGTTTAACATTTATTCTGAGTTGCATTATTTTTATTCATTTTGAGGAATACTGAATCTGTGTTTTTTGTGTGTGTGAGTGATGAATTAATGCATATTCATATTTATTTTAGAACTACAGTAACATCTGATTTCTGTCGCCATGGCGACACCAGAGCTGTCAATCAATAAATTGGGGGGGAAAAGTAACTTACGCAAGTAACTTTTTCAACTTATTTGAAAAAGTAACGCAGATATTCTCTTGTAAATTAAAAAGTAATGCGTTACTTTACTAGTTACTTAAAAAAAGTAATCTGATTACGTAACTCGCGTTTCTTGTAATGCGTTCCCCCCAACACTGAAAATAAGTAACATTTCTGTAATCGTTTAACCATTATTTATCCTCTAATACTTATTTTGTTCGCCGTGGGACACATAAGGCGTTTTCTCAGTATAGTCCTATGCTGTGACGGACAATAAAACCACAAAATACACCAAAACGCAATATAAATTCACAAACGACATCAATATAATTCACTCGCTGTAATCCGCATCTTTGGAATCCATACGACTGAGATGAACAGATCCAAATTCAAGCCTTTATTCGGCTATCTTCATCTCCATTCTCAGCAGCGATGTAAACGTCTAAACCGCGGTTGTTATGAATTCAAAAATGCCAAAAAGCTTGAAACAACACATTTTATGGCAGTAATATCAAACGCTCATTGGCTCTCACCTGGTTGGGTTTAAATGAGTGAAGCGAAGCGGGATATAATTTTTGTCGATTAATATCTTACATTCTTCTCTGTACCTCATATATAAAACTATTATACCGCGACTGCGGCTGCAACACATCATCATTTGAACGGCTTTAGGTACCGCTTTTGACATTTTGGCAATAAATTAAATATTGTGATTACAGTTGTTTGTTATGTTTTTCTTTATAACTGTACATTTTTTAAAAATGGTTATGGTTATTAAGTTTAGAGGTTTGATTGGGGTTAGCGGCTCAAAATATCTTCTCAATGCTAGATTGTTACTAAAATTTTTATTTTCTTACACATTTCTGTCCATTATGTTTTATATATTCTTTTTATATTCTCTATATAATGGTTTTGTTTTTGTTTGGGGTTGGGTTGAGGGATTTAACATTTAAATTAGACAGATATTTTATGATATAAAAGATTTGCAACTATTTAACATTTTTTAGTAAAACGTAATAATGTTTACAATTAAACGTCCATTTTGTACATTTCAGCATCTATCCGAAGGAACAAGTATATATATATATACACTGTATATATTGTGACTGTAAAAGTTACCTTTTAATACCTACATAACAATGAGATTATTATTGGCTTTTTCTAGTCAATAAACTTGAATATCACTCAATAAGTCCAATAATTATATGGACATAACTTTCACTTTAGAACAGGAGGTCAAATTGTCTTTATTACACTGTTTTAGTCATTTGTAACTGTAAAACTCAACTCAACCTTGCCAAGACAGAACTGCTTGTGGTTCCAGCAAACCCATCGTTTCATCACAATTTCACCATCCAGTTAGGCTCATCAAGCATAACTCTTTCAAAAACAGCTAGAAACCTTGGAGTTGTGATTGATGATAAGCTGAATTTCTCAGACCACATTGCTAAAACTGCCCGGTCCTGCAGATTTGCTTCATACAACATTAGGAAGATCAGGCCCTTTCTTTCAGAACATGCAACACAACTCCTTGTTCAAGCTCTTGTTCTGTCCAGGCTGGACTATTGCAATGCTCTCTTGGCAGGTCTTCCAGCCACTTCTATCAAACCTCTACAATTAATCCAAAATGCCGCTGCAAGATTAACCTTTAATGCGCCGAAAAGAACGCACGTCACACCTCTGTTCATGACTAAATGTAAATGTAAAACCAGCACTACTTAAACAATTACTAGCTTCATATTGTTCAGTCAACTTAATAGATGGTAAATAACTGAAATATACGCAAGTGCATTATTACACAAAAATAATATATGGTTTGCCAAGTCGTAAATAATGGCTAAAAGTTGTTTACTGTACATTCAGTTAATCATTAATTGCTAGCTTAATTTTGCTTATTTATCGAATGAATAACTTACTATATGTTAAGTTATTCATTAATTACTACTGTGTTCATGCTTAAGCAATGCATAATTCTGGACCCTTAAAATAAAGTGTTACTTTATTAATATATGCACTTTGTCTTATATTCATTATCTTGCTCCACCTCTGAAATGACTTTCCTTTTTGCCTTAATTTTCCCAACTGAAAAGACACCCAAAATAACAGTAAAATGATTTATTTATTTACTCTTTGTAATACCCTGGGAAACCAGTTTGAATATATTATCCTATATTACCACAATTCCGATCATGAAGTTCTGCTTCTTGTGTTACGTGATTTATTGTGGCCTTTCTGATCAGGCATTAACTACTGGGTCTCCAGGTGTCTATCATTTTGACAAATCTTGAATTTTGCATGACACAGAATCCACTCACAATACCTTTCATGCCATGCGGGCCTTTTATGGCCTGCTGGGCAACAGCCAACATGTCGTCCGGCATAGTTGGAATGAATGAAGCCTGTAAGGAGAACATGACAGAAATATCACATTCATAAACACTCTAGTCACCATGTGACTCCATGACGTCATATCGTGAAGGGTTCATACCGTCATGTTGTTTGGGGACAGTGCCAGCTGCTGCAGTGGCTCCAGTAAAGGCAGATTTCCACACAAGAGAACTGCAGCCATGTGAACTGTAACCTCCACCAGAAGAAGCTCTCTGCCTGACATCTGAGGTTGCACACGCAGAGCATGCAGATGATTATTCACCAGTCCTTTAGCAAACGCCTTTGTTTCATCATTGACAAAGATGTCTGTGCTTCTGATAAAATCGTAAAACCAGCACTACTTAAACAATTACTAGCTTCATATTGTTCAGTCAACTTAATAGATGGTAAATAACTGAAATATACGCAAGTGCATTATTACACAAAAATAATATATGGTTTGCCAAGTCGTAAATAATGGCTAAAAGTTGTTTACTGTACATTCAGTTAATCATTAATTGCTAGCTTAATTTTGCTTATTTATCGAATGAATAACTTACTATATGTTAAGTTATTCATTAATTACTACTGTGTTCATGCTTAAGCAATGCATAATTCTGGACCCTTAAAATAAAGTGTTACTTTATTAATATATGCACTTTGTCTTATATTCATTATCTTGCTCCACCTCTGAAATGACTTTCCTTTTTGCCTTAATTTTCCCAACTGAAAAGACACCCAAAATAACAGTAAAATGATTTATTTATTTACTCTTTGTAATACCCTGGGAAACCAGTTTGAATATATTATCCTATATTACCACAATTCCGATCATGAAGTTCTGCTTCTTGTGTTACGTGATTTATTGTGGCCTTTCTGATCAGGCATTAACTACTGGGTCTCCAGGTGTCTATCATTTTGACAAATCTTGAATTTTGCATGACACAGAATCCACTCACAATACCTTTCATGCCATGCGGGCCTTTTATGGCCTGCTGGGCAACAGCCAACATGTCGTCCGGCATAGTTGGAATGAATGAAGCCTGTAAGGAGAACATGACAGAAATATCACATTCATAAACACTCTAGTCACCATGTGACTCCATGACGTCATATCATGAAGGGTTCATACCGTCATGTTGTTTGGGGACAGTGCCAGCTGCTGCAGGGGCTCCAGTAAAGGCAGATTTCCACACAAGAGAACTGCAGCCATGTGAACTGTAACCTCCACCAGAAGAAGCTCTCTGCCTGACATCTGAGGTTGCACACGCAGAGCATGCAGATGATTATTCACCAGTCCTTTAGCAAACGCCTTTGTTTCATCATTGACAAAGATGTCTGTGCTTCTGATAAAATCTTGCTATAAAAAAAAACAAAAAATGCATGAATATCAGACATAGGGATATACATTTATCAAAAAGGTGACATATTAACATAACTTTCAGTATCGATCATTAACAAACATCGTACAATGCGTGTTATTATGTTAATATATATTCAAATAGCATTTAGGGGATTGGTGGCTTGCTCTAGGGCACCTCAGTTGAAGGTGGAAATGATCAGGTAGTATAGGTAGGTTTAAGGGTTCGTTAATATTGAGTGTGATACAGGAAAGTTTAGGGCCAGGTTTGGTGGGATGGGTAACTTTATGAGTTGGTTAGGGGGCCAAAAGTACAAAAAAGACAATTTGACTACAATACGAGAACACTGTTCAAACTCTTTATATACATAAATGAAGTATTTTCTTGAAAAAACTGATTTGTTTTCTCCTGTTCTATGATTCAAAGAATACGCTGTTTAAGGATATAGCACACTAAGTGTTAAGGCAATAAAAAATATGTTTTGCAAATAACAATGTGTTGCGTCTTTAGCAAGCATTTAACTAAATTAACCATCCTTTACACAAACTTTTTACAACCATTAAGTCCAAGGCCTATAAGGTCCTGAATCAATAGTAAACATTTATAAACATTTACAAATGATGAATATTCTCAACTTTAGGTTGAGTAGTGCAAAAACATGAACAAATGATTAATAAATGAACTGTACATAAGTGTAAATAGGGTAAATTCAGGTCATTTGGGACACATTTTGCCATTGAGATGATTGCTCATAAAGGTAATTTTTTTTTTTACATTAATAATGATCTGTTATTAAATATTTAATACGTCTATTTAAATATTTGTGTGCTGTGTTAACTAAAATATAGATTTTTTGAAGTATATACAGTATTATTGATGTTCAGCCATGAAATGTAAGGGATCAAACCTCAATAAAGCTTTTGATGAAGCAATGAGTCTGAAATTATCACAGATCGGTTTAAAAAATAAACTCCACAAATTATTATTTTTTTTAAATCTTCAAAAAATTAGCAGAGCGACAGGTGCTACACACACTTGTTTAAGCATTTATGCTGTTTAGCGTAGCTACTTACCGGAGCCAGTTCCCTGTCCTTGTTTAAGTTTCTAATTCTAGTTTCCTTAGTCTAGTCAAAGTCTTGCCTTGCCTGTTTTCTGATCTTCTGCCTGTGTATCTTGGATTAACCCTTTGCCTTGCTGTTTCGGACTGTGTTTGCACCTCGCCTGGACTATTGCTCATTTTATTGGATTACCCCTCTTGTCAAACCCTTTGGATTATGTTCACCATTGATCGACCTACGCCTGTTTATCGGATTACTCTTGTGTCTTGTCCTCAATATACCTGTTGCCATTGTCTGACCCTCGCCTGTTTCTGACCATTCAAATAATAAATAAAGCTTTGCAAATGGATCCGCAAGTGTCTTGTCCCTGTCGGCTCGTTACACTCTCTATGTTTGGGACATACATAGTGTGTGCATGTGTGTAAATAAGTATATCAATACCTCAATCGCTTTCTGTATTTCATTCATGTCGCAATCCCTCATGGCTTTGGCTACTGCATCTCTAATAGTTTTGTAGTCCAGTCCACATGCCACATAGTGGTCAATTTTGTTGTCATCTTGATTCTAAGAGAAAAAAACTTAGCAGTTAAAGCACAAATACTTGTGACTCATATCAGCATTGTGAAGTAAATCAACCAAAACCCACCATATTAAGAATCTCCTGAGGAAACAGCCACCTGAACTCTTGTAAATTAATGTCTTTTATTTGAAAATATCAAGGACATCCCTATTTGACATGAGCCCTTTAATCATGACCATTTTACTAGGAAGCCTGATGTAAACATTAAGTCATACTGTTCTTCCCAAACCATGTCACAGTACTTCAGATTCGTAAAGCACAAATGTTTTGTTGTGTAGCATATGTTTGTGTTTTTACCTCAGATTTAGGGTCCGAGTTGGGGTTTCCATTTCTGTACAGGAAGGTGACTTCTCTGAACAAAGCCATTAGCAGATAAACAGCTTTCTTCATGGGTGTGCTTTTGCAATGCTTCAAGCAAATATAAAAGCAAATAAACAATTTATCAGAGTGAGGAAGAGAAATGGCATTTAATTAATTTAAGCATTTTATTATAGTGTCCACACAGACACAATAGCGCTGTTCCAAAACCTAGTCTCGCTACAGTCTAATGCGGCATCCAAACCCAGCTGGAACTTCACAAATGATGCCTTTCACAAAAATCTGTTGATAGTCATTGGCATACAGATGCATTCTACCCTATGTGGCTCTTCCGTCCGAGTACCACCAGAGGTCGCTCTTCCATTTTTATGACTCTCACTACACAGACTTTCACATGTCACCCCGGACTACATTTCCCAGCAGCCATTTCACTAATCACACGTTCACCTGAAACCAATCACACACACTATATAACACCCACTCAGGTCCTGTTCAAACTGCCGAGTATTGTTTAAGCATTTATGCTGTTTAGCGTAGCTACTTACCGGAGCCAGTTCCCTGTCCTTGTTTAAGTTTCTAATTCTAGTTTCCTTAGTCTAGTCAAAGTCTTGCCTTGCCTGTTTTCTGATCTTCTGCCTGTGTATCTTGGATTAACCCTTTGCCTTGCTGTTTCGGACTGTGTTTGCACCTCGCCTAGAATATTACTCATTTTATTGGATTACCCCTCTTGTCAAACCCTTTGGATTATCTTCACCAGTGATCGACCTACGCCTGTTTATCGGATTACTCTTGTGTCTTGCCCTCAATATACCTGTTGCCATTGTCTGACCCTCGCCTGTTTCTGACCATTCAAATAATAAATAAAGCTTTGCAAATGGATCCGCAAGTGTCTTGTCCCTGTCGGCTCGTTACACTCTCTATGTTTGGGACATACATAGTGTGTGCATGTGTGTAAATAAGTATATCAATACCTCAATCGCTTTCTGTATTTCATTCATGTCGCAATCCCTCATGGCTTTGGCTACTGCATCTCTAATAGTTTTGTAGTCCAGTCCACATGCCACATAGTGGTCAATTTTGTTGTCATCTTGATTCTAAGAGAAAAAAACTTAGCAGTTAAAGCACAAATACTTGTGACTCATATCAGCATTGTGAAGTAAATCAACCAAAACCCACCATATTAAGAATCTCCTGAGGAAACAGCCACCTGAACTCTTTCTGTGACAGAAGTTTCTGGACATATTCAACCCCATGAAGGCTGCAGATCTTTCTGATGAGGTAAACCCTGTACCAGTCATTACTGCTCTGGCAGCATAGATCATTCACACTGTTCAAAAACACTGAGGTAATGGATGGAGGATCATCCTGTGCACCTAAACCATGAGAAACATTATCAATATCAAGGGAAAACGTTCAAATATGATACACTACTTTCTCAGTTTCAGTTAATACAAAGTGCTCTAGACTTTCATGGCAAGTGATAAGCATTTGTTGTTCTTTGTTGAATTTATGAACTTGCCCAGGTCATATTTCAACTGATGGTGGGAAATGCATTTAATTGTCATTCATTTGTACTTTTGTCGGAATTGCTTAGCAACTTTATTAAATATCAGCACTAACCAGTATAAACCAGCCTTTGATTAGCGTGCCATTTCTGCAGTAAAAATACAGAAAGCAGAACCGCTACAAGGACTATGCCAAGTGTGCAACTGCACAGGGCCTCACTCCTGGCCTGCAATACTGTAGTTTATGTACAATTTTTTACAAAAATATCAACTAAATAAAATTCCTGCTGCCTCAATTCTACTATGCATAATCAAGTTCCCGTAAAAAAAAAAACTAACAACTCGTTATTTTTATTATATATATATTTTATCATTTTGAATTTCAATGCTGCGTGCTCACTCCATCTATCTACTCATTCAATGAGGAAGAAGAAATGTCAGCCTCATAGAGCACAACTGCTTGCGTAGGCATGAGTTGGCTGGTGAGAAAAGGAAGAATTTCACAAATCATGGAGAGGATCGCTGGATAAGTTTGTCAACGTTAGCGCTTTTGAAAATCCCTGTGACTAGCAATACGGCTGGACCACAACAAGATGAAGATCACGATGGCTGTGGTGACTAACAGATATTTCTAATCTGATATTTTAGTTCAATTAAACCATCTCACTATCGATTTAGCCTACCTCTTTTTCTACTTATTAGGGACTGGCCTGGAAGATGAAGTCCCGATAATTTCTCAAAAATACACTTTTCCAATGATGGCTTGTATATCTGAAGAAAACAGATTCTATATTTTGCTTTTGTTGTAAACTGGACAAACCTTGGACAACCCTTGCTAATGATGCCCATAATGACGTTGTCAAATTTGATCCCTGACTATGCAAGTCAGATGCATGAGAAATAAGGATGCACATTATCTATAGCATGAAATTCAGAATGTCTGACCACAAATGTCAAAAACACTACTGTGAATGACACAAAGAGAGCAAAATACTTTTCTGTGCTTCTTGATTCTTTGTTTTGTCAATAGGACATCTTCAGAGCTGAATGTAGAAGAACACTTCATCGATTTCATCCCAGTAAATGAACAAACTATTAAATGCACTCCAAGCTGAACTAGATGCTCTTGGACTAAACATAAACGACTGTCATGGCCAAGAATACAGTGGGGCAAACATGAAAACATCAACATTTCTTATTTCTTATCCATATTCTACATCTCAATCCCCAGAATTTTTTGTGCCATGCAGTTGCCACAACCTGAATTTCACACTGGGAGATATGGCAAATAAAATGTTTTTTCTATATTTGCAGGCTCTCCTTAACGATGGGAACACTTAAAGTGAAAGTCCTGTCTCTCCCTATTAAACCTCTGTCCGAAACAAGGTCACGTAGAGAGTTTAAAAGCAATATGCTATCAAACAAGTGATATTAGAGACGCTTTGCTTTAAGTGGCAGAGGACTATAGGGAACCTAAAGTCAAAAGAGCTAATTCCCTGCAAAGCTATGTCTATAGTCATACGGTATGATATTCTGTTTGCTGTGAACACTGTCAGTAAGACACTACAGTCGGGGGACATGCAGCTGGATGTGGCACTGTTGCAGCTAAATGGACTAACTTTAATTTGTGGCTGCAAAATTCTTCTTCAAAATGTATACAGCCTGCAGCTACAGTAGATCTAGTGTAGATTTAACTCTAGAATAGCTGTATGCATGTGATTCTGACTCTAAACTGAAATGACCCGTCTGAGACATGATCTAAAATCTAAATGATATATACCCCCTATAGACCTGAGTTTATGAAATGTAACATTCCTAAAAATGTCAAAATAAAGTGACAGCTGACTTGACGATGTATGATGCTGTATTATTCTGCTTGTTAAATTATGGTTATATGTATTATTCAGTAGGACGCTTGTTACTGTAGAAACAGTAGACTCCCAGCTTGTTTTGATTCAGAATCCCCCTCCACAAAGACAGAGGGCCTCACACGTCAAGATGGTACAGGGCCTCACATGCAAAGTTATACCATCAAAAGAAAAATCATAATCACAAACTACTAAATATAAGCAGTAATACATGGTGAGTGAACATGAATTGATATACACACCTCCAAACTATTTATGTACAAGGAATAAAGCTCGGTTTTATCAGTCTCCTGAATGATGTTGCTTTGCTCAACTTCTGTCAGATGCTGCTGAAGATAGTGCTTCACATCATCAAAGCTAAAAAAGGATAAGACAAAAACTATTACGATGTGTAAGAGGAGTGTGCTGCGAGCTGTTAAAAGCCCTGCACTCACCTGTACTTGAGCAGGAGTTTCAGCACCACTGAACGCACCACTGGATTTTTATCCACAGAGTCATCGAAGGGAGAAAAAGGCTTAGTCAAGAACTTGCGGTCTTGCCCTGCGAGGATGAGGAACAACGTTCTGGTCGTTTAATTCATTCTAATCCGTTTCTAGTCCTCCACACATATACCTTACAGACAGACGTACCTCTAATCTGAGGGAGCGAGCGGGCCTCTACCATCAGGAGGGACAGCAGATGTTGGATGATGTCCATGCTGGGAGGAGTGCTGTCCTTGAAGCACATGGTGGACACCAGATCAATGAAGAAGGCATTGCATCGCTTTCTGAACAATGCATTTTGATGGATCAGACCCCTGAAGACCAAAATAAGCACATCATCTTTTAGACTGACAGAGGCAAACAGAGAGATAAAGCACAACTATTAAGCTCAGACAATTAGTCAATTTACTGTATTGTCTCAGAGGCCTTGAGCTCAAAGTCATCAGGCACTTCAAGGCGACACAGAGGACAGAGCATCTGACCGGGCACCAGCCACTGTTTGATACAGGTCAGGCAGAAGATGTGGTCACAGGGCAGACTCAAAGGGTCCTGCGGATCTTCCATGCACACTGGACAAAGCTGACTGCCAAACCTGGGGAAAAATCACCAATATTCAATAGTAGCCTCTTACTAAACCCTCAAAAAGTAGAACTAATAACGAACCTTACCTAAAAATGCTCTGAGATGCTTCATCTTTGCAAGCTTTGAGTATGATGACCGCTGCCTCAAACGGCTGCTTGTTTTTGAGGTCCGAGTCTTGCTCCAGGACCTTCAGCGAAGAGACGAGTATCGATAAGCAGAAATGAAATTGTTTAAGAAGCTATTTTCAAGTAAGGACTGAAAGCTGACTCACTTGTGCTAGGCGTCGTGTGTGGTCAAGAACCAGTGGCCTGAGGTTCGAATGCACATCCTCGACACCCAGTAGCATGTGCTGCACAAACAAGGCCAGAGAGTATATGCGATGCCAGCCATGTCTAAAGTAAAGAAAATGTATTCATTAACTGAACTGTAAATAATTATATCAGTGCAATACAATATAAAGCACTGGCTCTCTACCAGGGAAAGGGGGCTTTTACATGTATTTATAGGTAGTGATTAATAGGTCAGTCAACCTATTAAAATGAAAATTGTTGTAGATAATGGGGAAATTTGGAATCAAAAAGATCGATAACCACTGATTTACAGTACCTAAAGAGGTATAAAGCCAATTCCAACACAAACAGACTGAAGAATGGCTTCTTTTCCAAAACTGTAGGTGCTATCATGTAGGAATGTAACACAACATACAAAGAACATGTACAAATAACGTTTCCCATAGGACAATATATTTTAGAGCTCATAGCTCACTGGATGTGAGTGACAATCCGGTTGCTTTTCTCTCCATAGTGGCGAAGGCTCTCCTCACAGCAGACCAGCTCAATTGGCACCTGTAGCTTTTTAACACGTCTAAGCCAGGCCAGACTTTGACCATCTTCATCTAGAGCCTGGGGCTCCAGGCATTCAATACAGGCCAATGCAGTGTACACATCTAACACCTGAGAAACAGAAAGACTGTCAAGAGAGAAGTAACCAAAGTAAAACATGCACATCCGATCCATGTAATACAAATTATGCAAGCACTTACCAGTTCTGTTCCTTCTCTGGCACATGTGTTATCTAGAAGCCTCTGAGCAATCTGAGGCTCTATACTGATCATCCTGTAGACGTTCTGTATTCGGTTCTTGAAGCGATGGTAGGCAGCATGAACCCACGGCAGAGAAATAACTTCACTCTCATGGATTTCCTGACTACCCTTAAGCTCATTTACACCACAAGTAAGGGCTCCACATAAGAGCTAAAAAATAAAAAACAGATATACAAACATATCAACACATAGACAAGTATATGTGCTTGGACGTGCAGATGATGTATAGAATTGTATCTCTGAAAGAGTCTGACTCTCACCTCGAGATTCACCACTGATGTTACTTTCATGGTCATGGAGATGAAATCCTGGAGATACCTGTGGAAAAATTCCATCTGCATCTCTTGGGTTGCTTCAGAGATGTACCCGCCCAAGGGGATCTTCCAAAAAAACTCTTCAAATTGATCTAGAGAGTGTCCTGTTGAAGAAATGCATGGACATTTATTGTTTGTTTTTCCTAGAACTGTCAAAAAAAACAGTAGAGGCCTGCACGGGCCTAAAATATAGGCCCTAGCCCAAGACGTTCAGGCCCTAAACCAACCCTTGACCAAGAACTTATCGGAATTCTTGGCCCGAGTCCGACTGGAGCCCGTGTATTTTTCTCTCTCTCTTCCGCAATATACAGCTGCTGTTGCAGCCATTACAATAGTTCAGTTTTGTTTTTAATGGCAAAGTGGTTATATTTATTTTAGTTTTTTTATTAAGTTAATTTAGAAATATGTTTGAAACATATTTATTTTGTTGGTAAATTCAAGTTTTTCTTTTTTAAAGTAACGACTGAGTGACCAGCGACAGGCAGTGAGTTGATCATATGTTTGATCAATTTAGCCTTCTCAACTGATCACGACTTAAAAAACACTTCAAGCTTATTTCAATGCTAGTTTAAACATTTAACCTAAATAAAAGTGCGCTATTAGGCACGTATGCAATCGTTTGTGTGGAGAGTGGAAGCTAAAGCGTGCTTTGCAGGACATGAAGGAGCCAGCGCGATCACTTGCATTTTTTCTTATTAACAGTGGAAAAAACTTAAAATATGCCGTCATTTTTGCTCATAAAGAGAGTAATATGTCATTCGGAACTGTAAAGGGTCTACTTTTATTTGTGTGCACTCGCAAGATCAACAAAACGTGCTTTTGTAAAATTTGGCTTTCTGCCGTCTCTGTCTTGAGCAGGAGCACGCTTCACAATGATGAACTGAAACTCAGCGAATACTTGCCTCACAGACATGATAAATATATTAATAGAAAGCTTTAAATTACTACTTCAAAACAAAATAATTCACATCTAAAAAACTCTTTCATTATGTAATCTGTAAAGATGCATTTCTCTCTAAAGGCACGTCCAATGAGGAGATGGCGAGTCAGCATCGTCAACTTTTTTCTAATTACTTTTGTTGGGGCTTTGTGGCAAGCTTTAGCCTACTGCATGCGTTTGAACACGAAACTCTTCCAGCTGCATTGACGGCACGCTCGCTGCCGCTGCTGCTGGTGGAGAAACACCGTCCAAGCCGGTTTTGACAGTCGCGGTAGCACGGTCTCGTGTTGTTTCCACCAGCGCGACAAATCTTTTTCATCACCATAATTGATGGATGTCTAAAATATAAAAATGAGTAGAAGCCTAAAACAGGCCCAATGCCCAGCCCTAGGGGCATAAATAAGTCGGGTCCGTCTGCTCTAAAAAGCAGCAATAACTGTCACAAGTCACAAGAGAACAAAGCACACTGATTTAAGTGTGATTGCTGAAACAACAACAACAAACAGCAACGATAGCAGTTAAGTAAATATACCTTCTTGCTGAAAAGCATGTACCCAGAGTTCCTCTAGATGATCTTTAATTCTCCAGCTGAAAGGCATGGTGCAACCCACATTGCTGTCAACTGCAATGTAGTTTTGAACCAAGATGGTCTTCTCTGAGCTGTTAAAGACCAAATGTTTTGTTTTTAGTTACAACGACATTACTTTAAAGCCAAGAAATGTATGCAGATTTGCATTGCATTGTGAACTGCTACACA